CAGGTTGGGTGGAAAAGATGTTGAGTACTGTTAAATTGGTGAAGGTAACCCGAAGTGGACTTGTGATGTTTGTTTGTGTTTCTTCTGCCCTGAGGGACTCGGGTCAAGATCTGTTTCTTATTTTGCTCTTAAAAGGAGTGATTTCTGGGGTTGAGTTAAGTGTGGAGGTGGAGCAATTGAAGTTGAAGATTCCTGGTGTTTGTGACGCCCGTCGTTTGGTGCAACGCAGACCCAGTGGGGGGCGTGGTGAAACAGAGGTGTCACAGTCTGTCCTTTTGAGTTTTGAATCAGAATCTTTACCCGATAAAGTCATGATAGGACATATCTGTTATCCTGTTAGAGCTTTTGTGCCCAATCCACTGCAGTGTTTCAAGTGTCACATTTATGGTCATGTCCAGCAGTGTGTAGGAGAGAGATTCCAAGATGTGGGAAGTGTGCAGGAGGGCATGGGACAGAGGATTGTGTAGTTTCGGTGGAAAAAGTTGTGTGTTAACTGTAGGTGTGCCCATGTTGCTGGGGATCGGGAGTGTCCGGTGTGAGAGAGGCAGGTTGTGGTGGCCAGAATCAGAGTAGTGCAGAAGGTGTCATATGCTGATGCAGTGAAGAAAGTAAAGGAGGATGGGTCAAGGGTGAGGGATCCTGAGAGGATCCCTGTGAGTAGTAGATCTGTGTCAGCACAGAGGGATAGGCCAACGAGTGATAAATGCTTCAGTACAGTTGGCTTCATAGCGTTCATAGCAATGGTTATCAAGTGTACTGCATAAATGGAATGTAAATCACAGAATATATATGTTGTGGTGGCAGCTGCAGAGAAGTACTTGGGTGTACAAGATTTGACTTCAGAAGAGTTACAGGGTGTGTTGAGTGGTGGTGTCCCATCGTCCCAGGCCATTGGCTTGGTGCAGGAGCAGATAGGGTCAAAGTAGTGGAATGGGGTAATGGGTTTTTAATGAGTGTATGGTTAGTTGGAAGGGTGTGTCCCCCCCCCCCCCCCCCCCATTTGTATCACATGGAAGACGGTCCTCCCCTCCTCGAAAGCCTCCTTTTGGTGAGGAAGCACAAGTGTATCTTACCTGAGTCCTTCGCAGAAGAGTTTTGAAATCTGCCACACCCCCTTTGAATCAGCTATTGTTTTCTGGAAGGAGAAAAGCCAACATTGAAAAACGATATGCTAATTATCCTTTTTATCTCTAATATTTCTTGCACAACTAGCTATTTTTTAAAATCACTTTATACATTTATTTTGAGATTCCATCCTCTAAACGTAATTTGCCTGAAAACGTGCAATTAGAGAAGGAGAGTCTCATTTCATACATGCGCATTTTCATCAACTTTCCCTCTCCTCACCGCCTCTCCTCGATTACCTTTGACCTTTTTTAAAAGAAGGCCAGAGAGGACGGAGTAGAGATGACGCAGGAGTTGAGCGTATCTAATTGAGAAAAGGCCTGGGTCTGTGCCTGACTCTTCAGTCTCCTCCGTCTCCATTGTTTTTCACACACACCGCTTTGATAAAAACAAACATTCCTCTCTTTCCTGACACATCTCTCTCACTAAGTTATTTTTTTAAATCTGCCGACCATCATCGTTCAGTTTGGGTGGACAGCTTGATTTGATTGGCCTGTTTGCGAGTGATGCGTGAAATTTGATTTGATTGGTCACTGACTATACAACAATGAGCAGTTTTTTCTGGCTCCGAGGTATCGTGATCTAGACTACTATTATGGATAGCTTACTAAATTGTACTCTGTAGTGGATGGTTTTAAAAAGGTAGCGAAGTACAATACTTAATTCAAAACATATTTAAGTAAAATTACTGACTTTGAAAGATACTCTGAAAAAGTACAAGTACTCGGAAAAGCTACTCAATTACATTAATTAGAGTATTTATGATTAATTACTTCCACCCCTGTCAGTTAGTTAGTAAGTGAGGATGATTAATTGTATCATTAGTCTAAAGTTACCCGTTTAGGACTCAAGCTAAAGGTAATCTACTACTGTGCAGGAATCAAACCCACAACCCTGGTGTTGCCGCCGGCACCAAGCTCTAACACACTGAGCCATTGGAAACACAATTAAACAGGCATTTTACTGAATCAAAAGGTTGTACAGTAGTAGTTGCTTTGATATTAGGCTATTCTTACTGTCTGTGCTGCAATAGGGGCCAGGCCTCTCTGACTTACCCTGAACTCCTTTTGGTTCAAGTTCATGCAAGCTCTACTCTTCCTGTATAAAATTAATTACTGAGTACAAGTTGTTTTTCCAGCTATACCTCAAAGACTATTATTCCGTTCCTCTTCTGACTGGTAGTGCAGTAATGATAGTATTGATAGGCTTGAATGTACATTAGTCTGTTTGTTGTTTTGAAGCATTGGTTTGGTCACTAACTGGGTGAGTTTTCATTTATTTATACACACATAGACATACATACACTGACATTCACACAGGCAAAATGATACTATGAAGCAACAGATTTTCTCACACTCACATTTGGTTGTATAGAGACATTTGACACACAAACTCCTAGTACACAAAGTAAAGACTTATGCAAATGTAGTGGCAGGCTACTTGAGGAGGACATATAAACCTTGAACCACATCTTTTACAGTAATCCAGTATGGTTTATCTCATATTTTAAAATGTTCTCTCTTCTTACCTCTATCTGTCCCTGTGTATATTTGCAGAGTGTAGTAGAGGAAATATAAAAGGTTGTGTGTAGAGTGTCATTGGTGGCAGGGACCAGGGTGACTATGCATGCGTGTGCCAGATATTTCCCCCATAAACCGTTTTCCCTCCACCAGATCTATCCCCTAAGGTGTTTTCAGGACATCTCAAGGGGCTGATGGAGGGTATTAGGCTTATCACTCAGGGTGTTTTGTCCAGTGTGCTTACAGGCAAGGTTTTCTGAGGGTAAAACTCCTAAACGCCTGGATTACCTCAACACATCCCTTTAAAGTGCTGTATAGCCAGGATTTAGGCTAATCGGATAGTGGGGGAGAGAGGGGAAGGATAAGGTGTTGGAGCCTGCTGGCCCCGCCAACGCCCCCAGGCCAGGTTGGAAGACACGCGGGTCAGCAGATGTTCTCAGGCCTGGCAGACTGGGTGGGACTAACAGGAGGATTACTGGAGCCCAGATTAGATGGGTCTGAGGGAACTTTAGGGGACTGTGGGGGAATACGGTACACGACTGACTGGGGCTAAGGGCTGCTAACGGTTAAGGTTAGGCTGGATCTTATGGCCGCAGATGAGAGGGGAGGAGGGAAGGGGAGAGGGGGTAATAAACTCAGGGTGTATGGTTGGAGGGTACCCTATATATGTATCTAGACATAGAGACATGCACACATACCACACACAAAGTAAGAGGGACGCCTAGTCATTCCAGTTCCCCGTGACCACATGTATTTCTAAGTGCCCTCTGCTATTTCCCTTCATTTTCAGTGGAGTTAGTGTTGTAATCTACAGTATGTCTCTAATGTTGGGTAAATCTACAGCCCATATTGGCCCAGGATTATTATCCCTGGATTAAAGCACTGCCTGTCTAATATTTAATAATGGGATTTATTCATAAGAGGCTAATCAGAGGTGTCTAAGGAATGACAATCTGCAGCGACTGCCAATGATATGCACTGCCTGTATGTGCACGTCTGTAATATAATGACAAGGTCTGTTTGTTTACAAAGACTGTGGAAGAGAGACGGAGGTATGTGAGACAGTATTTTCAGTTTGTAGAGTTCTGTTCTGAGGTGAATGTTGAGTCTAGACAATATTCCTCGATATAGGTTTGGTCCCTCCGCCAAAACTTAATTGTCACCTTTGACAAATTCAGCCAACAGGTTTTTAAATCTCTATAGGAACACTTCAATGTAATCTGTCTCTCTCTCCCTGAAATACCATTGATGAGCACATGCTTAGCAATGCCTAGCAGTCTTTACATGCTCAACCTATTAATCAGTATAGTTATATAGTTATAGTGTAGTGGAGGGGTTTGTCGAACAGGCAAACGCTCATGTGATTACTGATGAGTAGCCTAATCTTTCTGAGACCTGTGGACTTATGCTGCATCCCTCATTGTCTATAACTTTGCTCAGTAGAGACCAACAACCCAGGTTTGATATCTATCTGTTCAGTTACATTAGCGCTAGTCTCGCGTAGCCATACCTCCAAATCACGTTGTTGTCATGCCTCCTTTGGAGGTCTGGAGAACGTTGTATTAGCCGAAACGTCTAGAATGGTCCGCTGGAATCCAGTGGCTCCATTTTCATTGGCTGTTAAATTTTTAAGAACTCTCCTCCCACATGCCCGTGGAAGGGGTGCTGCGTGTTATGTTCGTCACTGTTTTCCGAGTTGATGAATGCATTACTACTCCTCTGCTTGAACAGAAAAGAGACGTTATGGAGTGTCTACCTACAGGCTATGGTAAAAGTTTAGTGTAGCAAGTGTCACCACAAACATGGCATACATCAACGTATTTTCATGGGGTTTTAATCAGCGATTTCCCGTCCATCCTCTCGCACTCTTGCGCCTACGGCACTAGTGGGCACATTTTGAGCACTGCCCAAGCAAGGCATTTGACTTCACCAGGCTTTCCGACTAGGGACGCCTGGTTCTCGAAGAGGCTACATTCGTGCATACAGTATTAACTGTGTAGCATCATCATTGTCATAGAGGGCCTTTGAATTTATAGGTCGTGGGTGACTCCTAGTGGTGAAAGACGAAAATGACAAGTAATTTAAAGAGGGTTGCCCTCTCCCAGCAAACACTAATCTGCTCACCACCACTCAACCTTTTTTGTACCAGGCATATATGATCTTTCCTATACCAGGGATATGTAATCAGAACGATTTAAAACTAGTACTTGAAAACAGATTAAATCGCTGTCAGCTAAACAATCCGAGATCCAGTCAGCAACATCCCAGGGACCGGTGCCGGTCCACGGGCCACAGATTGAGAAACACTGGTCTTATATACTAATCTATACACTAATCTCCTCATCTCGGTTCCACAGAAAGGCAGTTTCCTACAGGTCAAAGGTCGGGCCATGACCCCGAGGGAGCAGCTGAGGAAGATGTCAGCGATGGGGGAGCAGGGGGCTCTGGACGAGAAACACTGGTATCGCCTGGTCAACGGCATGTCTGCTGGAGGTAAGGCTGACCCACCTGGTTTGAATCTGTATACCTCAAGACTTTGTTAGCCTGCTGAGTTAAAGCCCTAGGTATTAGCTCGTAAATCCTTAGCCTTGCCTAGAAAATTCACTCTACATTTTTATGCTTTACTATCTTAGAGTCAGGAACTTTTCCATAACCTAGGTAATTACTGGGGCCCAGAGCTTTTCTTGGTCAGGTCACATAGTCAGTATAAACTCAGTGGTCAGTACGGCCCTAGTTCTATAGACTTGTAACACATCTAACATCGTGTTTACTGTGTTGCGTTACAGAGCTATGTCAGAGGCAGGAGATGATGATGAGGAACCAGATAGCCATTGCTCCTCAGATCCTGGCCCAAGGACAGCAGAGGCTACAGGGGGTGCCCACCCAGTTTGAGCCTCGCTTCATGGAAAGAGAGCTAGTTCCACCCTCGGAGATGGTATCTTCCGAGGCCAGGCAGATGCACATGGGGGGTCACCTGGGTCCGCCCATGCCCCCACACCCTGGCATTTCTGGCAGGGGCTTCCCTGGAGTTGGTTACAGTTTCATGCCCTCAGAGCCCATGGAGATAGTTGCCCGGCGACAAGAACTCATCCACAAGCAGAACATCGCCAGGTATTGTCTGACATTGACCTGCAGCTGCTTGTCACAGGGCTTGTTAAAGTACACGTCATGGACTACAGGGCTTTGGAAATCCCAGCCTTCCGTTTATGGCCCCCTTCAACCTGATACCAAGGGTCTGTTCTATGCACTATATTACAGAACAGTTGACAAATATGATTTGAATATATACAGAGCCCATATTCAGAGCCCATGTGACCTAGAAAAGTTTATTGTTATGTCCTATTGGTGTATTGTTATATCTAACTGGTTTATTCTGATCTTGATGGTGTGTATTGTTTTGTCTGATTGGTGTGTATTGGTTGTTTTTCAGGATTGAGATTAATGCCATCCTCCACCAGAAGGAGATGGAGAACGCCCATCAGAAGGGTCTGATGGGTATGGATGCGCCCATGATGTACCAGTCCAACGCTATGGCTATCCGAGGGCGCCAGCGCCTCCCAGAAGGCCACGACTTCTTCATCCACCGTACCACCCTGGAGGAAATGCAGGCCAACAAACTCCTGATGTCCTCCAGCCCCTATCCACCAATCAGCACGCTGCAGAGGGAGAGGGGCCGCAGGGCTGGTCGCAGGGCAACTAATCACAAGAGCGCAGAGAGCCATGCGTCTGGCCCCAAGAGCCAATTGGAAGACAAGAGTGTGGAGCAGAGTCCCGGGGGTGCCTCTGGAGACGAGAAAGAGGCGGAGGGGAAAATGGACATGGGAGGGGAAGCAGCCAGCAAACAACATCAAACCATAATGGACACAGAGCTCTCGGTGGACGGCAGAAAGAGCTACAAGGAGGCGGCGCAGGGCCTACGCAAAGCCTGCATAAACAGTCAAGATGGCTGCCCTGACGTCACCAACTGCAACAGTGGCGCCAGCGACAAAGACAGGTCCAGTCAATGCTCTGCGTTCCAGTATCCCTCCGCCAGTGGACCGATCCCAGGTATGCCTTACATATTCCCTCCTGGTGAGTGTCTACTTTCTACAGTCTTGTTTTGATCAAAATATTCAGGGGTTGTGCTGCTGTCTTTGATTTGATTTCTATCATTTATTTGAACAAGGACAGATGTGACAGATGTGAGCCATATGTGTGCTAACACATTTTGTCTTTTGTTTTGATCAGGGCCACCCAATCTCTTTCTTAACGGACAAGATATGTCCTCTGTTGAAGACCTTAGGAAGTGGACAGTGGATGACGTGTACATCTTCATCAAAAACATACCCAGCTGCTCTGAATATGCTCAGGTTGGTGTCATTTCCCAATAATGACCAAACACAAGTGATTTCGTGCTTACAAATATACACTGAGTGTACAAAACATTATGATCTTTCCATGACATAGACTGACCGGTTGAATCCAGATGAAAGCTATGATCCCATCTGTTAAATCCACTTAAATCAGTGTAGATGAAGTGGAGGAGACAGGTTAAAGAAGGATTTTTTATCCTTGAAGAGACAATTGAGACATGGATTGTGTATGTTCAGAGGGTGAATGGGCAAGACAAAATATTTAAGTGCCTTTGAACGGGTATGGTAGTAGGTGCCAGGCGCACCGGTTTGAGTGTGTCAAGAACTGCAACGCTGCTGGATTTTTCACGCTCAACAGTTTCCTGTGTGTACCAAGAATGGTCCACCACCAAAAGGACATCCAGCCAACTTGACACAACTGTGGTAAGTATTGGAGTCAACATGGGCCAGCATCCCTGTGGAACGCTTTCAACACCTTGTAGTCCATACACCGAATAGAGGCTGTTCTGAGGGCAACTCAATATTAGGAAGGTGTTCCTAATGTTTTGTACACTCAGTGTAAATCAGCAACATAATTCAAATCGGCCAGGACTGCCACTATTGGCTCTTTCCAATTTTGGAAAGAGAGCAAATAGTGGCCATCTTGGCAGGTTTGAATTCTGTTGTTGATCATTTATGTAAGCAGGAAGTTGCATTGCTGTGTCATACTGCTGTGTCTGTCTTTAAGGAAATTGTTCTATGGATAAACATTACGATACTACTCCTCCTCATCATACCTGATTATTCCCTGCAGACGTTCAAGGATCACATGATAGACGGGGAGACGTTGCCACTCCTGACCGAACACCATCTACTGGACACAATGGGACTGAAGCTGGGCCCGGCACTCAAGATACGATCACAGGTATACAAACCATCAAAAACAGTTGGCCTCACAAATTCGGACAGCAGACCAAAAGATTTTGGAGTGCTATCTAATTAATTTCCAATGGATTATATTTACCAGGACCCAGCACGCAACCAATTTTGGAAAAGAGTAATTACGAAATCAGCACATTGCTTATTATAATACCTCATGGTATCGCTCTCTCTGTCCCACTCACCAGGTGTCTTGCCGGCTAGGTAGCATGTTCTACATGATGAGCCTCCCGCTCTCCGCTGCCGCCGCCCTGCAGGCCACCCCTGAGAAGGCAGGAGGAGACAGATCGTCAGAGATCAGCTCCCCTGTATACTGTGACAGTCTGGAGATGATGGACAGCCCCTGCACCAGAGACCCAGAGGGCTGCAAACCCACAGACCCCCTCCCAGAGACTGACAACCCCTCTCCCCCCTCGGCCAGCAGTGAAACTGCCTGAGGCATCAGTGAGGGGGATACGAGTCGTCGGCCAGTGGCTCAGTTCCAAGTCGACCCCTAGCTCCTACCACATACTGTACATATAGACACAACCCCCTAAGGACTTCATGTAGATCTTTAAGCATTGGATGGGTATACGTAAGTGATGTAGTAATGGCTGCATCATGCCCTCTGATTGGCTAGGTGGAATTTTCGCTGTGTAGAATGCATCTGTCCAATCCTTGCAGACCTTCAGAAGTGCATAGGTAGTAGGAAGTAGGGGTCGATTTGGAATTCAGCAAGTGTTTCAGCCCTAAGAGCTGTTTTTAAGCTGCTTACCATTTCCATCAGGCTATTGTGTTCAGTTTTCTAGTGTGTGTCCTACAGTGTTTAAACTGCTAAGGATATGATGGAATTGTATTGTATGTACAGTATTTAGTTCTACTTAAAATGTTTGGTACTTCTTTTTACCATGTTTCAGATTCAAGAGACCATGGTTGCTCAGACGTTGCATGCATCAACCAATGGTTGCGGGCCACGTCATCGACTGTGCCGTCGGGCACCAGATTTCTATAACATATGATGTGGTTAGCTGATACGTAAAATACCTATCCAGGCGTTATAAGATCTGACATGCATCAGCAACGTCTGAGCAGGGGAATACAACCCATGGGTGAGTTCCAGACTGACTAGGTAAGGCGCCTGCGCAGTTGGCCCTCCTTCGCATGCTGCCTGCCTCACCTGGGACAACTTTAGAGATTCTTGTTTTTCTACAGTAAAAAGACTACAATAGCCACAAGGCTGTTGACAACCAAAGCAACCATTACTACAGTTGTTTAACATAGCAGTCAACTTATTTCCTATAGTCTCAAAATGATTCAATGTTTTGTTTCATGTGATAAAGTTTACAAAGCACACAAGGGGCAGTGCAGTTAAAAACGTGATTATGATATTTCCACACTATAACCAGGCTTCCATCCAACCTTTTTATGCCAGTAAAGGACATGTCGGATAAATAATGTCATGACAGGCCTGATGAAACAGAACATTTGTCGGTAAACTTTCCAAATGTCGACAAAACTAAATACTCTAGACAAGGTAGGATCTTTTTGTGTCTGTAAAATTAATTATGTGAGAAATGTAGGTGGAAACGCTTTTAATGCGCAAATATGGATATAATAATCATCATATCGAAGTACACTTGGAGTCACGCAATGACACGTGTGGTCCTCCCACTACGACTCGTCAGGAAAGCATGCAGTTTATTAGGATACAGATTAAATTAATTATGATGAACTTTACAGGGTGGTGAAAGTGCAAGATGATGAACTTGATGCTCCTTTCCAATAAATATCGAGGGTCTTGTTCTGGTGACATGATCATCAATGCTTGGCTGCCTTTGACAAATAAAAATAATCTCGCTCTTTTGTCCATAATAATCTCATCATGTAGGCTATACCCGCACTGTATCTGTGAGCTGTCGGCTAGAGGGCACGTGCCAATCCCAGAGTGGGCATACTCTAAATATACTGTAATGCAAAAAAAAATTGTGAGAAAACCATCAGTAGAGTTGAAAATGCAATGGAAACCCATTTAACTTGTAACTTGTATTTTTTATTCGGTACATGTGAATTTAACCGCAAAAGGTATTTTTATGTACACTACGTCATCATACGCACAGCCTTTTATCCCCATCAAGTCAATTTGATGGAAACACATCGCTGGTGGGAAAATGCACATATTGTTTTCATGTGGATTTTAGAATATTTGCATGAAAATCTGTCGCCAATTGGATGGAAACCTAGCTAGCGAGGTCGAAATAACGCTCTGAAATTGTGAAAATTATGATAATGCCCCTTTTGTATAAGAGCTGTTTGAAAAAAATGCCTGGAATTTCAGCCTGTTCAGATGGGATCGAACTTTTGGCCCACATCATGATGTCACAATGTGATCTGATTATAATACACTAATGACTGTTCATATGGTTAAGGGGGTGGGCTCTAGATCATCCTATCAGCCAATCAGAGCTATGTATGTAAATATCTTCACATTTGTTTCCTAAAGCCCACAAGATCAGACTGAGCATTTCAAGGGCCAAAGGAGGCTCAGCTAAATAAATGATACAAAATATCATTTATCATTAAATAAACACACACAGTGATTTATTAGACATACAGTACAGTGAACAAAGACTGCATGGGGGCTTTAATAACATGTATTACATCTATGAAATAATGTTATTAAAATAAGTTGACTCGGCCACAAAAGTATACCTGGATGCACATGTATCAACTTTGAAACATGGTTTTCTTTGTTTGGGCTAATGGCTAGGCTAATGTGGCTTCTACCTGACCACTTAGAAAGTGGTAACAGCCTGCAATTCACACCTCCCATATAGATTGTGAAATTAGCATAACTCTCAGAGCTCTGCCCCTCTTTCCATTCAAACATTCCTTAGCTCATTGAGCAGCATTGCAGTGCAGACCAACTAGTAGTGATGGGGAAACTAAGCTTCCTGAAGCATTGAGCTTTCCAGCAAATTGTGTCGAAAATAGGTTCATTACTCAAGGCTTTGATCAACATAGTGTACACTAGTGGCACCTGCTGGACAAAATAATTTAGAGCAGCCAAATTATTATAGATGACGTCCCACACGTTGTAGCGCGTGCACAGAGTAGCCTTTTTGTCTTCTACTGAAACCAATACCAACCCAATCAGGTGGTTGTTTGAAGAAACAAAGCTTCGGATGTCATTGATCACGTTCTTCTGATAAAGTGATACAAGCACACTGCTTCGGCACACTGCTTCGAAGTAAACTTCTTAGCGATTTTGACACATGCCCCGGAGGTCCGGTATTAAACGTAACATCACTACCAACTACAGCGCTGTGCAAGTTGCAGCCATTTTGCCGATGCAGGCGGTGACTCTACTTCCGACGGCGGCGTTCACACAGGCAGATAAATTCTGATATTTTTTCCACTAATTGGTCTTTTGACCAATCACATCAGATCTTTTCACATTAGATCTTTTTCTGATCTGATTTGTCAAAAGACCAACTACTGAAAAAAAGATCTGAATTGGGCTGCCTGTCTAAACGCAGCCAATGAAATGTAGAACCTGTTTGAGAAAGACTAAACAGTATTATGTAAATGCTAATGCATTTTGTTTTATTAAAATAATTATTTCCAATGAATATGTGTGATCCTACCACTTTTTATGATTGAATATGAATGATTGATTTTAATTTCATAACATAGCCTATCAAATTACAGTTTTTGCACACAAAAAATAAGGAACATTCCTGGTCACTATAGGGACAGTTGTTACTACATTTTGAGGTAGCAATGGACACTGAACATCAATAATATAAATAATTTCTAGATAGCCACACATTATATAAAATGAATCACTAAGCCTCCAGTTTATCTAGATTAGAATGAAAACTCTTTATCCATTTGAGATAAAGTGGCAAGGCTATTTTAAAACAAATAACAGTAGCCATATATTAAATTAAAACTGAATTACCATAAGATAACATTATTATTACAAGGTGGTTAATTCGATTACATTTTTTGAAGAATGGTCTGTTGTTGAAAAAACTATTTGGGAATGTAGTGCTTTGATCCATTTTGCTCAGTCAAGGAGGATCATGGCGGAAGTGGATGTCGAAAGTGAAACGAGAAGCGAGTCGAGTGGAGTTGAAAATGCACTCACTAACTGTAAGTCGCTCTGGATAAGAGCATATGCTAAATGACTAAAATGTAAATGTAAAAATGAGTTGGAGAAGAGGAATGGAGAACGGTAGTATCGAATAATAGAATTAAAAAGGAGAAAGTGTTGAAAACTGAAGGGGATGATAAGTGTATGTCGGACAAGGGCCATCTGAAGTGTCGTGCTTCGAACTCTTGAGTAGGGCACCTGTTAAAGGAGTCATCTCTGGGGTGTTGATGGAAATAAAGGAGGAAATCCTTGCGACGAGAATCCCAGGTATGGTTAGGGCCCTTCGCCTGACCCGCATGGTGAATGGAGGAATGGAAGAAAGTTTGTCGTTGCTATTGTTTTTGATCATGAATACCTCCAGCCGCATGTAAAGCTAGGATATATGAGGTATGGAGTAAGAGCTTTTGTCCCAAAACCACTACAATGTAACTGTAAAGGATTTGGTCATGTTTCGAATGTGCGAAGATGGAAGGAGTATACGGAAGATCGGAGTGACCAAATCCTTTACAGAATGACCATGTTGCAATTGAGGTGGGGATCATGACCCAGAGTTCGTGGAGTGCCCGGTAAGGATGAAGGAGGTTGAGGTGGCTAAAGTTAGGGCGGTCCATCTGATCTTTTATGCGAAGGCAATCAAAAGAATTGAGAGAGAAAGTGACACTAGTGTTGAAGAGATGGTTGTGGATGCACCACAGCCTATGGTGAATGTTTGTCAACTAAGAGAACCAGACATGCTTTATGTAAAGAAAGTGGATTTTGTGGCGTTCATTTGCAACTGTGAAACTTCACGGCTCAAGTAGCAAGGAAGTCAAAGAAATTGGACATCATTGTGGCTGCAGCAGGAAAGTATATGGGGCTTCAGGAATTCACAGCGGAAGAGTTGCAAAGGTTATATGCAATGGAAGATGTGCCACCCTCCCAGGCTCCTGAGCCTGTGTAGGGATCAGACATGTATTATTAATTTTAACAGTAGCGGCAAGGAGCATATTGAGTGACTTTCTGGTAGTCAGTATGAGTATTTTTATCCACATATTTATTGTCTTTTGTGATCTTTTATTTTCATCCTGCACAGTAGGCAACGGCAATACAACCTTTGGATGTAGTCCGCCGTAAAATCCTAACGAAGAAGAAGATCCCTTTTTGCTCTCGCGATACTACCCGTACGTGAACACACGAGCTGTGTTGGAGGATCATGGCGGAGCGCAGGAGGCATAAGAAACGGATCCAGGTAAAATAATTTTAATTCTAACTGGAAGAAGATAATATTTGCTTTGATATATTACAGAGTTGAAAACTGTTCTCATTTTGGACACTGCAATATTTCTAAGTTTCAGCAACAGGCTAGTTTTATATGAAGGGAATCTTGTTGGTGAATCGATGCAGTTGATTGGCGAAAAGCTGCCAGTAGCAGGTAGCTAGCTAGCGTTAGCTTGCTAGCCACTGAAATATTTTATTTTGCAGGAAGTCATTTTGCATGTAGACTTATCTGTAACACGAATATTTCACTGAGTCAGGGTATCACAGAAACCAGGGGTGTATTAGTCGGATTCCGTTGCAAAACGTTTTGAACGGAACGGGAACAGTTTACTCATAACAAAAACGAGTTTATTGGACCAACTCAGGTAGGTCCCTCCCCGTTTCGTTTGCTCTGTATGCTTCTGTTTTGCAACGGAAACCGACTAATGAATACACCCCATGCAGTGAACGCTAGCGCAAAACACGAGCCTACGTACTAACAGCTTTTAGCGAAACTCGGTAGCTTACGAGCT